TTATAAAACCCCCCCCCCCCCCCTCCTGTTTTATCTCTAATTTATTCATAATTCTGCTTAGTCTTGTGATTTACTAACCTTTGCCACACGCATCCATAACCTCCCTACTAACTGGACAGAGTGATGATGCTGATCAATTGTCCAATAAACATGCTGGAAGCAGAGAGGTGACACAAAAGGTCTATACAGTGTGGCAGATATAAGTATATCATAAGACTGGCTGAGCAGAATTAGAGATTATTTAAAATGTATAACAGTAAACATATACTGTATGAACCTAAAAGATAAAAATGCTATAACACTTAAGACGAGGGTCTTACTTGCTGCACCAAACTAGATATTTTTGGGTTGTCATCAGGGCCATAGTGAGGTGATTGAGGCTCTTGCCTCAGGTGTGTGTGTGTGGAGGGGGGGGGGGCGCAGCCAGGGCACAGCCAGCAGGGAGAAGTGTGGCTTCTCCTCTGGATCCCCGCTGCTCTCCCCCATCTGTATCAGTTATATTTACCGATACTCTGTGCAGTGCAAACGCTGGAGCGATCAGCTGATCACTCCTGTGTCTGTAAATAACTGGGGACACATAGCACTATGTGTCCCCAGTTATGAATGAACAGGAAGTACTTTACATAATTTCCCATTCCTTCATGAATTTCTGAATGGGGAGTAGCACTCTGTAAAGAGGCTTCTCCCCATTCAGAAACTGGTTGATGGTAAATATTTTCTGAATGAATGGGAAGCCTCTCTGCTTTCCATTCATTTAAAACAGAGTCTGCAGAAAAATAGATGGAGGACTTTGTGTCCTCAATTTCTTTTTCTATTTTAAAAGGGAAATATCAGGGGGCTGTTTAGATCCCTAATATTTCCCTGATGCCCCCCTCCCCCCCCCCCAGAGTAAAAAAAACAACACATCCTGGAGGAGGGGGCGCAGGACATCACATGACGCCTCGGGCACAAAAGGAGCTAGCTGCGGCTCTGCTTGTCATGTTGGAAACATGTTGGGAAGAGGACATAAAAATCATGGAAGGCAGTTGATGTGCATGTGGTTTTCACACTTCCTAAGCTGTAACAATTCTCATGACAGAAAATGAAGGGAGCCGAAGATGAGAAAGTGAGACTGAAGGAAGAAAACCAAATGCTGCTTAAGATGATGGGTCAACTCAGCAGTTAAGACCACAGCCTTGGACCTCTCTGCAAACGGTGATAGAAAAAGCTGTTCATCCTCCAGTTACAACAATTCAGTCTGCAGTCTGGACAGGACTGTAATGGATTGATGAACCTAAAAGAAAAAAAGCCCAGGTTGTTCGGGGGAATGAGCCAAACATAAGCGAACCCGGAAGACTCTTAAAATGGGTTCAAAGAAGATGTGGAAGAAAAAGCATTGTTGCTGCAATTTCCAAAGTGCTGCTTAGTCTTACACATTTGCTATCAAGGTTTATTTATTTCCACCGGGCTGTTGGATTCTTATTTAAGTGAAAGAGCAGTGCATTGCAAAAGAATATAGCTAGAGCCTTTGCATAAGCGTCAGCACAAACAGACATCCCCATTTATGGGGCCACTGTACAATGAGCAACAGGAGGAATCCCATTGATTCCAATGGTTTTGAAAAATGAAAACATTTGGAGGAGCTCAGGTTTAGAGCTTAAGATGATGAGTCAACTCAGCAGCTAAGGATGTAGGAATGTATAGAGCATCAGTATTTAGGGTACAGGAGGTAAAGTCACACAATTTGCCAAATGCACTGATATACCATTTTTCTACCTTCACATTAAAACGGACCTTGTACTTCCGACAAGATCTACTTATTTACTGAGGGCTCCCTCCCTTGAACTTGGTTATATGAAGGGCCCTCACTAAATAAATGGATCATGATATTTCAGTTCAAGGTCCACTTTAAGGTTTGGCTGTTTACAGCATTTGTCAAAACCTGCAACTTTATTGAGAGGCAGCATTTATCAAAACCTGCAACTTTATTGAGAGGCAGTGTAAAGAGTACTTAGGTTGTGTAGAGTGCAGTAACCAATAGCAAACCAACCTAACTGCAGTAAACTAAATTCTGGGTTGCTATGGGTTACTTTACTAGCACGTCATCATTGCTCTCATCATGCAATGCTCACAAAAATGTATATAATTCATACAATCCTCCTGAAGCAAAATTGGTAATATCTTCAATTGGTTCTGATTCATCCAAGAAAGGACAATGTAGGCCCCATTCACACTTGAGCTGAGCGTCTTTGGTTGTTTTTGTGGGCATTTCTTTGAGTGTTTGCACAGTAGTTTTTGCATTTCAGAGCGTTGTTTTTAATTATTATTTTAGTCAACAAACAGGTTGTTATTAGGCAATAAAACACATTTTATGCATTTTGCGTGTTTTCCACGTGCTTCCATTGAAAATATTGGGGTCAAAATGGGTGACTCTGCCCCAAAAAGAAGCTCATGTACATTTTTAAACTACTGGCATTTTGGCACAAGCGACAGAACGCTTTGATGTGAACAGGGGCCATCGAACCAATGGGATTCCTTCTGTTGAGCATTGAAGCACTTAGGTATTCAATCTACAAATGCTCAGGTGTGAATGAGGCCTAAGAAAAAACTATAAGATGCAATCACGCACTATGCACTTTTTGCTCTGTGGCACTTAGGACATATGCATGTACAATTTCTCACTTTATATAGTATAGCTGCTATCTGCCCCAATGTCCAGCGATGGTCCCCTGTTGTGGGTATTTGTCCCTGGAAATGTCCCTGATTTCAAATGCTAATCACGCGCCACAATAAAAGACCATGTTTTCCTGATACTAAATGGGTTTCTTACTATTAATTCAAAGCATATTGGCATAATAAATTGCATTTAGTCCCTATAATATAAAACTCAGCAAGCACCCACACAGAAGCTGGGTAATGTTTTCCCAATGCATATTAGAACCATATTAGTAGTCTTGGCTACTGAAGTCACTATAGATCAGTTGGAGCTGTGGTCCTAAGGAAAGGGGGTACTCTAACTCACAGTGCTGGCAAGTTGGAGCATGGTGTAAGGACACTCTCCCAGCGATGTCATGACACACGGTGCCCCAAACCCTAAAGAAACTCATGGTGGCATCATAGAAATGGGTTTTGCCTTCAGAGATATATTTATAATTCAAGAATCAAAGTGATTTATAATACAGTTTAGTAAATTTGCTATTATGGAACTGTAGGGTGCCATCGTTCTCTAAGACACTATCATGAGGTATTAGGATACGGCCTTCCAAAAATGAAATACTGCACATTTCTGCATTCCATCCTATGTCATCATAGATGTAAACAGTCTTTGTTCACATGCGTTTGAATGCAGAAATGTACATTAGTTCATTTTTGTGAGCCTATCAGGCCCATTTTCCAAGCCATTAGGCTTACCATAGGGAGCAATGTTAGTACGCAGTGTCTAATATGACTTTAATCCCTCGTACCACATTCATGCTGACATTTTACAGCATTAAGTGAACTTGAACTGAGAAACTGTGAAATCAGTACACAAAATCAGTAGCAACATTTTCCTTGAAATGAAAGTGACCCTGTCATGGGGTTAAAAAATTTCAAAAGAAAAACAACAAACCTGTGAAGAAAGCTGCATTATACTTACATGTCCGTCAGCCTGTTTCCTGAAACTTTGCTGTGCAGCGGAGTTCATGGCACCAATGCCATACGAAACCTCTGGTTGTGTGGAAAAGCTTGTACTCGGCTGGCTGCCGTGGTTTCTCCCGCCAACCACTCTGCAGTATGGTGCGATGCAATAACTAGATGACCATAGCCACCAGCAAAGGGATCCACTATTTGACCAGCCCAAGGAGTCCAGTTGGATTGGTGTAGGTACCTTTACTACAGAGTGAGGATTCAGTAAACGTAGACTGATGGACAAGTAAGTATAATGCTGTTTTCTTCACTGGTTAGTTGTTTGCCGCCTCTGACAGGATCACTTTAAAAATGGAACATTTTGCTCTAATCTAAGTTAGCATCGGTCAGTATCATATTAGTCTTACTACTTTTGGCCACAGGGTGGCATTGTTAGACCGTCTGTATTCTAGCAAGAGGGAAAAAAAGGTAGAAAAACATATTATAATTTTTCTATAGTATAAAGTATAATAACTTTCCATATCCACAGTAGGCTGTGCATTTTAGTAGGAATTATTGTGTTGTTAAAGCAGAACTCCGGGGGAAAAATTATTATTAACTCTTGCAGTGTGGCTACCCCCCCCTTTCCTGCAAGGGTTAAGTGATTGTTTTGGTCTAGGGAGGGGAAAAAAAAGTTATACTCACCCGATCCTTGGAGCCAGTTGTCTGTGACTGCGCTCCCTCCAGCCTGTCTGATGAGATGTCGCTTGGCATCCTCATCACGTCCAGTACACAGTGTTTTGGACATGATGACTCTCACCTCTTGCACCTCTGTAGCAGAGTCGGAGAGAGGCTCCGAGGACCGGACTGACAGCAAGCCGGCCCTGAGGATCAGGTGAGTATAACGTTGTTATATTTCTCTCTAGACCAACACAAGCACTTAACCCCTGCAGTGCAGAGGTAACCCTGCTGCAAGGGTTAATAAAATATTTCCCTGGAGTTCTTTAAGGGAACTATGGGGGAAAAGCTGCATTGTGTTATCTTGTTCAGCATGTGCATTTCTGATGGATTAGTATTGTTAGGTAGAGTTGATCCTTGGCTGCTGCAAGGATTCAGTTATGTTATAGTAAGTTATAGAAAATCAGTTAGTACCTAGCACACCTATCATATATATAATCAAAAAGGGGTGCTCTCAATTTAACAGGGTAATATCCTATTACCCCAAATACATTAATAATTTAGTGTAGTGCATAAGCCACCCTCAAAATTGGTAGTTCTAATGCATATATTGAATAATAGCAAGTATAATGTTTACTCAATGGCATAACAATTAGGTCAAGAAAAAACGAGGTTCATAAACCAAAGACAACAGCGGGGAGAGAGGACACGCCTAAAGACCTAGAAACTAGATAAGCAAAAGTAAACAATTACAACAAAGCGCTAAGTAAAGTACTGTATATACAGGGTACCAAATGGGCACTAGCACACCTGGAAAGTAAATGTACAGTGCTGGAAACGACTAATAAAATAATAGCCATAATGCAATATTTTATCTTAGAATCAGTCTAATTTTGACGGACTCAGTTTACAGAAAACCGATAAATAACACTCAATATTTATGCACCTAGGAGATAGGGTGCCCAGTTTGCATGTCCAATGTAATTCTACGCATTGCCAGCCTGTCAAGAAAGTTCCAGCTTCAGTGTCTACTAAAGTGAGCTCTTATTTCCTGTGTGGTCTGATCAACATAACATAGCTCAAATGGGCATTTCAAAAGATATAGGCCATTGAATGAGCTACACATGTACAATCCTCTAACTTTTTTTTTGCGTGTGAGTAAAATGATCAACCAACATTATAAAATTACACTGTGCGCAGTGACCACATGAGAACATGTGTTTCAGAGGTGGCAGTAATGAGAGCCTGCTACCTTGAGATCGGTCAGATGTGAACTCAGCTGGAACCAGATTTTTGAAGTGCTTATAGGCTGATAGCAGAGTGACGTTTGACACGACATGATCGGCTAATACTTTTGGAGGATAGAGTAGACTGTGAGAAAAAAAAACGATCAGTGTGCATCTTAGGTTCTAGATAGTTCTTTCTATCAGTTGGCTTACGAAATAAATAAGTCAAAAGGCACCCACTGTGTTGGCTAAATTTAACATAATTTCTTTAAAATGTATCTGCTCTTGACTGCTATCCAGAGTGAAAGAGATTAAGCGCATTTCCACTAGGAACTCTTTCATTTCATACTGTAGATCCACAGATGCAGGGACACCCTGGTCCATGAGAGTCCCCTCAGAGTGTGGGATTGAGCTATAAAGGGTACCCATGTCCATAGAGCAGAGTGTGCAATCAACCAGTAATGTACCAACATGCTGAAGGTGATTCCGTGGTGCCTGAAGATAAGACAGCATTGCTAATACTCTGTGCCCTGTATACACTTTACTTGCTTTGTGGTTATTGTTTTTTTTTTTTGGGGGGGGGGGGCATTCTGCCCTCTCTCCCCCCCCACTCACGATGCATCCCATCCACTGGACTTCACTGGGAAGAACTGTACCTAATCTGTTTGATATGCTA